TAAATTAGTATTTAATGGTATTATTAATCTTAATACTTTTTCTGACTTTTCAGTGTTTCAAGTTACTCTTTTTCGCAGTTTATTTTGTGATACGTTTTTATTGTTTCCTCAGCTTAGCGACGCATAATTAACATAAATGGACAAGTATCTAAAAACGATTTTACGGTAGACTAGTGGCTAAATTTTTATAAAAAAAAATCGAAATATTTCATTGAAAATTTTGACAAAACATATTAAATAAGTGAAATATTTCTTCAATTATTTGAAGTTTTAAGTATTTATATTTAATTTATATATGAACACTTCAAATATTTAAATTTAAACCTAAATATTTGTATTTACTACCAGTCACAACAATTGTCTACTATAGTACACAATTTTTGTTTATACTGTAGTATAAACAAACGTTTTATACAAACGTTATAGCTACTTAGAATTGTTTTATATTATAATAATATTATATGTGTTCTTTATTATTTGGATACAAGTCCGCTACCAACTTAAGGTTATAATTTTAGATCTTCTTACTGAAAATAATTCCTTTGATAAAATTACATAAAACTTCATTAACAAAATAATTTATTAAGGAAGCTTATTATATAATGTTTTTTAGATCCCTACTTGACTTAAAGCAGAATTCAAGCTGGCTTTGAAGACAGCAGTATTAAAATTACTCCAGTTCTAAAAAAATTTTAAAAATCAAAAAACATTTACTGTAGAATCAAGAAGTGTAAAAGTTTTTCATTAAACAGTATTTTTAATATTAAACTAACAAAATTTTCTTTTATGTACTTGCCAATTTTAAATAGCATACCTTTAGTATTAAAAAGTGTGAAGTGGTGTTATAACACCTTCGTTCAAGCGAAGGTGTTTGGTAAAATCTAGAAATGAATATACAAATTCTGTATAAAAACACAATTTTAGACAATTTTGTTATCATTATTATGAGCAATAATTTAAAAAATATACTACATTATTTTTTACAAAATATCCCTACATGAAAAATATATGTTTTTTTCCTTTTGTTAAATCGCACCATTAACAACTTAGAAGATTTAGGTAAATTTCCAAATGAAAAAAGTAATAAAGTTACACACGTCGAATGTTACAAACTGAAAGGTTAAACCTTATATTGCTATCTTTCATTATGTTTGGTATTCGCATTTTGGTTATTTGTGATAATGTCATGTAATAAGGATTTTCTACGTGTATTTTGTTTAAGGCATTTGATGAAATTTAATGAAAAAAACAATATAGATTTAAAAACAAATTTTTTTGATATCAAAACCAACTCTAGAATAATAAGAAATCCAATTTCTTTTAGTTTCTTACGGATACTAGTTCGTGAAATTCCAGTAGGTAAATATTATGTATGTATATTTTGACCTGTGCCACACATTGAGCTTTTTTGAATAGAGACTAGTATAATGGCTCACGCAATCCTGTTTTTTTATTTAGGTTAGGTTTTGCGTTTAACCAACATTACCGCCCACAGCACTATATTGCCACCGACGCTAGTTTAGAAGAACAAAATGACCCTGTTCTCCGGTACAGATCAGCCATAAATCTTTCTGACATATTTATTATGGACCTGATGTCGAAAGGATTTCCTCTCGGCACTTTCAGGGGTCGGGTTTAGTAACCTGACTGAGAAGAAGCATGACTGCATACAGGAAACAACAACGGGTAGGTAGGACGAGGAGGTACCTGTTTCCAGCGCGTAATCCGACAAGCCACCGCCAACTCCAAACGGTAAAAGTGAAATTTTGTTTTCCCAAATCACCGTTTTACCCTGTCCGTCTAGGTTGACAATATAAGATACCGAATGAAAAAAACCAAACGTTCCTTTCCATTAAAGTTTAATTCTAAATTGTATCGATTACCAAATGATGTGTATAAAAATTAGAAAAGAGTGAAAAATAGATCTGCAATGCATTAAAACAGTGCTGAAAAGATATCAAAAAATAAACAAAAGTTATCTAGAAAAAATATAAATTATCTTTATATTGTATATTATTTAAATGATATTTAACATTGTTTTGCATAAATTTAAATAAACATTTAATTTATTATCTATAATATTTGTGTCAGGTATGTAAAACTAGAATACCATTATAAGCTTATAATGGATATTGCATTTGATAATGTATTTGGTTTAATCCAATGTATTAGTGACGCCTAGTCTGAATCGTCAATGTATGCAACACAGTAAATTGAAAAACACGTGTCGGTTTAGCTGAATAAAGTCGAGATTCATATTTACCAAATACATAGGTAGTCCTAAATTTGATCTCTAAACCCATTTAAAAAATGTTTTAAAATAGTTGTTGTTAAGTTGTATTTTTGTTTAATATAAACTTTTTTTTATAATACTTATAAAAATCATAATTACTGAAGTTAACGAAAAAACCTCCATTTATTTACACAATACTATAACAACAACTTTAACTGTAATATTAAGTCGGAGTTAATATGTTTAACAACAGCTTCGTGTAGTTTCAACAAAAAACAATAGCTTTGGAACATATAGTTGTGTTATAATGTTTGACAAATACGATCAGGGCTCAAAGTGTCAAAAAAACGAAGGGGCATAGAGGTAATCTATGCCATTATAAGCGTTCCATCAATCCAAACAATTACATATATTTCAAATAAATCTTAAAGAAAACCGTCACTAAAGGAAGGGGGAATAAATCCTCTTATGGTACCCTCAATTTAAACTCTGAATACGATTATTCGGGGATTGATTATTATTTATAGTATGACTATTATTTATTCAGTCTGATCGAAGCTAAAAATATTTTAAAAACTTTAATTAAGTTTTGGTTTAATGGACACAGACGTTCCAAAATTAAATACAAATTTGAATAAAAAATATAATTATATATATTTTCATAAAATGCACATTAAAAAATGATAATTATCCTTAACATTAATGACAAAAAAAGGTCATTGAGATTTGTACATTCTTCAAAAATTGACAAACTATTATTTTAATTCTTTAGTGATTTTAATACAATTTCAACAAATAAGACTTTAAGAATACAAATTATTCATTATACAATCAAAAACTAAAAATTTGGCCATTAAAAACAGAAATTGTATAATATTTGGGCTACTTGGCCGATAACTTATAGATTTAAGTTATAGGATATTTTTTCTGTTATCATAAAGTACGTTATATTACCCTTAATTTAATATGAATTATAATGACGCAATTTTTTTGGAACATTATCAAAAAAGAATATATATTGTTCAATTCCTATTAGTACTTGCTTGACTTTTTCGTTTTCAGAAAAGTCATATTGTCATGTATCATCAGTATATTTAATAGCTAAAATATTTTCAATTAATTTTCGAAATGATCCGTCCAATTTTCAAAGTGATAATATCATTTTATAATGACATTATAATATTATTTAGTGGAAACTAAAAATGTCAATATCGACTATTTTATAGCAGAAGTAATTTTTTTGGGGACATTTCCTTTTATCATAAGAATGGAGGGAAATTTTCCTAAAATTAGATGCTGATTAATTCAGTTAGATAATATTTGTGATGTTGATCGAGTAGGAGCGGAGTATTCAAATGGTCAGATAAAAGAAACACGACACAGTAAAACCTATACCTTCCTCAGCTATGCTTGGAAGCTTAAATTTTTCAAGGCGTTTGGGTACCTACTTTTTTTAGGGGTCCCAATATAGACAATTTTGCGATTTTTTTTATGTTACGCAGTGGCGTTGAGTGAGAAGTAAATAATTATTAGTGTGAGTGTCCATTATTGGGAGCGTTTGCAACGTGTTATAGTCGATAACAAAACCGGTTTTGAGTATCTGCCTAATTTTTTTATACAATACGAATATATTGATTCAACAACGACGCACATGTATTTTATGTTGTATAAAATTCATAGCTTAACACCATTTCACCGTAAATGCTTATAGACGCGTCATGCTTTCAATAATTTTAATTGGTTATAAAACTAATTGAATTACTTTCTTTCTAGGAGTATAGAAAATTAAATATTTATAGTAAACACGTTAAGTCTTATGACTTAACTAATGACATCGATTATTCTGAAGTAATCAAAAATTGTAATTTGAATTATAAAAATTAAATTTACAAAATTACATTATTTACACGCCAAAATTACACAGTAAAATGTTTATTTCATAAGCCTGTTCTTATGGAAAGTCCTTTGTCAAAATGTGAGTCAATTATCTCTGATAATAGACAATTCATGTAGAATATTTTTATAACTGGCCACATTTTACTCCATACTTTATTGTTTTTTTACAATTTTATCAATTACCATGCTTTAAAATATACGCATATTAATAAAATTTTCAGTTCATAGATTTATGTAGCTGTTTTTTATATGTTCATTTTACATTTACATTGTACCTGTTATAGTTGGACAACAAACAGCAGAGTAACAATTTTGCCGTGTTCTTATAAGTAACTGCCCATGTACTTGATAATATCAAGTTAATTAATTAATTAATTATCATAAGACTTTTTTTAATTTACCGTCGTCCAAGGTCATTAAATTCTATTTTTTTTTCGATATGGATAACGCACGTGAGAATATCAGATATAACAGCTACTGCTTGGAAACCATTAGTTTTGACATATAAAACTACTTATTTTGTTCCATCAATACGACGAAACAACTGATGCGATAAGAATTCCGAAAACAGATTTGAATTCAGCATCATGTCACCTAAGTATCGGCCAGGCCACTTTTTTGAAATTGTGATTCCTGCAGGGTTGAAAAAAATCATAATTTCAAAAGAAATGTCTCAAACGATACTTAAGTAACATGATGCTAAAATCGCATCTGTTTTCAGAATTCTTATCGCATCAGTTGTTTCGTCGTATTGATGGAACAAAAAACGGTCGGTACCTAGACGTCTTAATAGTGTGTATGTATTTACAAAAGACAATAAAGATCTAAGATTTGGTCGCTAGTTTTATACGTAATTCAGAAATAGGCTTACTTGGGAATGGTGCGATATGTTTGCCCTAGACAGCCAAAAGTCATGAACTTATTTTGTATGTAAATACCATTTTCTTATTTACCTGTAAACAATAAAATAAAATCTTCGTAAGTATAATTTTTTATAGAAAATTATTGAATTTTAACTCTCAATTAAATAAATTATGACAAATAATTATTTTACAAATATATTTATAACATTGAAGTTTTCATATTTTAAGGTAGGCAATAAAAAACAAAACACTATATAAAACATTTTTGTAAATGATTTTCACACTAGTTCATGTCAATAAACAATAACTTATTATTTATTTAATGTCGTTTAATAAAAATGTACTCCTTGATTTTTTTTTATGATTAAAAAATAATTTCAAATATGTTTTTTGTAACAAGTTGAATGATACATTAACTAGCATTGAGTAAATATTTTATGAACCAGAAGTATATAAATACTAAAAACGAGTGTGCTATAAATCATATACAATACTATGTATCATTAATTATATTAGACAATTCGTCTGATCCGTATGTTTTTAATTATTTCAAGTAATACATCTAACAACGGGTGTACTACATACTGTACACTTCAGAAGTATCGTCTGCTAAAGTAATAATTAGATAGTATGTATAGAAACATAATAATTCAGCCATCTAAATATACTCTTAGTTAATTAAAGGTATACTAAATATATGTCATTAAAATTACATGTTAACATAAAGTTAAGTCAAGCAACTAAAAAATAAAAATCCAAAAGCCATCAACTAGTAGATTGGTGCATCTACTAGTTAGCATCTATCATTGGCTATCTTCAAATCTTAAAAAAAAAATTAATATTTAAGATATTTTTTGAAATTGCCAAAAATAACATAAAACATATTTCAATTATAGTCCTATATTATAAAAATTGATTAATAAAAAAAAATTATGAAGTGTTATAATTATAATAAGTTATACGAGTTGTCAGTTAGATCTGTTCCATCCGTATACTATACAAGGCGATTCTTTTATCATTAAACAATTCATTAATCAATCAAAAAATAAATATAATGTTAAGAATTTTACTTTTGATTTCATGGTGTTACATGTTTTCTCAATTTATCAATTATGAAGTATTTTTATGTTCATTCCATGTAACTTATAAGAATGTCGACTATATTTTTACAAAGGGCAATATACATATTTAACTAGTTTATAAAATAGATAATAACCGATTTTTATAATAGTGTTGTTAATCATTGTCGGATATCATTTATACTTATTCTAAACTATATCGCGACCACTGTGCTAGGTTTTTCTCTATTTTTTTTTTTTTTTTTTTGAGCCATTAGAAAAATTTATTTTCTACTATCATCAACTGATAACCATAATTTGTTTAAATTTAATTTCCAGTGAGTTACGAGTCTTATAAGGGAAATGAAAAAAACAAAATGAAATGAATGAGAAAAACATATGAATAAATACTTTAGCTGAATCATTCTACTGGTTTAATTTAAAATTTAGATCTGTTTCATTGATTTATATAACATTTGATCGAAAAAAGAAATAGATAAAATAATTTTATTTTTATGATTAAAGAAAGACAATATTGTCAGATATTAAGGTATAAGTTGAAGTTAAAATACAAAAATATTACTAAAATTGTTGACGCGGCATTGTCGTCAGTCAATCATGTCCAGCTTAAGGCCTTTTCTACAGGTGTAAGCCGGTCTACTGTACTAAGCCAGTGATTACTAGACTATCTAGTGGTACACACGATTGACATTCTACTGGATTTGTTTGTTTTTCTATATTTTGACTAACCGATATACCAATGAAACTGTAACGTTGCATAGAATAACATACAATGAACTATTGGATTTCTATGATCATTCACATTTGATACGTGATCATATCCCACAACATCTTTGTACTGCCGACAAGGCTTAAAACATTGACACAAGTATTGTTACAAGAGAGCAGACTGCACACATAAACACTTTTGGAATTCGCAGTCATCGTGCCATAACACTAATGCCCCAAACGTCAGTTGACTTTTTACCATCATCGCGACCATTACTCTTTTGTCTTATACTTTAATTTAAATTAGCTTCCATCAAAATAGTGTGTGTGTGTGTGTTTGGCTGTCAGCTCCCTGTTGGATTATTATCATCTCTAGGCGTCCAACAAGTTGTATTGCTTATTTAATATTTCTTTACTTTAATATTTATATCATTGCTAACCAAGAGTTTTATATATATAAATTGTAGTGCGACCCTTGGTACCTCCTCTGAAGGACCTCTTGGACCCTTAGAATAATGTTGACGGATATTTAGGCTCAGCCCATAAATAGCGACGTAGCATATTGAATAGTAGTCATATTGATTTGTGAAATATTTATATTCATCGTTGGAGTCACACACAGAAAGTGACCAACTTTCAGTTTCCTTATTTATGTAATTGTACATAACATTATATACTACTAATACTGTAGTCATTACTGTTAATTTTTTGTGAATGATCGAGTAAGCTTGAATAACAAAAAGCTAAGTTTCGTTAGTTACTTAACGTTTTAATTGATTTATTTAATTTTAAAATTCGGCGGTTAAGCCGGTACATTGACTTGTAAATAGTCGTCATCGCCAATAAAACTCTGTACAAAAGAGCGTAGCAAAAATATAATTAAATAATATTGAAGTTTGAGTGGCATCATACCGAAGAGAATTTAAAATAAGTTAAGCACGACATCGCTCTTAACATTAATATCACCAGGTAAATGAAAATATATATATTTACAAAATTCTTCTTTAGCTTTTTCTTTGTTATTCATTCTAATCAAATAAATAAATGGGTCAAATAAAAAGCTATTTTGTTATTTAGTACTATCATATACATATGGAATGTTAGGAAATGTTAATTATTCCATGTCATGAATTATTATCTCTTGTTTTTTGCTAATTTTGATTATTTATCAAAATCAAGCAAGACATAGGTAATCGAAAACATTTAGTTTCATAGATGGCAATTGTAATATTTTTAGTATCTCCAAGATTAATGTGTAATATGCATACAATTTCCTTTAAGGAATGTGATTTAAAAAATTGGTTTAGTTAGCTTAGTTTAATAGAAATTTCCAAGTAAATAGCATGTAATCTGATGCGTTATAATTTAAATGCAAAATCAATTTTGTCTTAGCGGGAAATACAATTTTGTATCATTTTGTTACTTTAAGGTAAGTGATCTATGTAACTTTGTAATAGTATTACCAAGTGTTAAGTAATTATTAATATGATGCTAATAAATGTGTGGTACATTTAGTAAATTAACGACGCAATATTCACACAAATATCTAATTTATGTATAATAATGTGACAGCTGTTGTAACACCTCTTGCGATCGAAATTACTAAGAAGACTTTACTAATTAAATGAATTAATTAATATTTATTAAATATTTTTTGTTGACTTAAATAAAATGAATAATCATTATTTGTCTCATAAAGTTTCAAAGTATTTTAATTTTAGCCAACACAGAATATCTTAATATAGAAAATAATGTTACAGATAGAATAATAACGAGTTTTTAATTAACCAAACATAATGCTTTTAATTAAAACCTCAAATATCTCTCAACTATTTAACCACGATTTAAAATAAACTTAATTTCTTAAATTTAAAGCAAAATGTTTTCACTTTTATTTCAAAGTTAATTATGTTCTAAAAAAATTTAATTATTTTTTATTTCAATTATTTTTTGAACAAAAATAGAAATTACTATAATTATTATCTATTTACTTGGTTTATACTATCAAATATAATTACTTACAATTCTATTTATTACATGAGTCTAAGTTTATAATAATTAAACCGCATTTAATTCAACAAACCGTAGTGTTAAAACGTACGCATTAAACTAAAATTAAGTTCAATGAAATTCTCTAAAGCGGACTTAAATCCTATACATTTTTAATTATCACGACCTCTTATTCGTATTATTTATTCAAAACAAACACTAGCATAAAACATTTTAATATTCTTATCGAGAGATTTAAACTAAAATTATGTATTTTATAAGAACATTTTTATAATAATAGTTATTCACTTATAACAAATGTTGAACTATGAAATTTAGATAAGAATCGTTGTTTTTTATAAACTCATTGGCATTCATTGGCAACTGAAAAAATACTGATTTCCAAAAATTGTTGAAACCGATGATTGATAAATGGTATAAAAAATGATAAGAATATAATTGTTTGTAATATTTTTTCTATCATATGATAGAGTTAAAAATTAAGGAATCTCGTTAAAAAAGAATTATTTAAACTCATATTACTGTAGAATTTTCCAAATAAAATTATTTTTTCTTTGTATAAATAAAAATGGTTTTTGAGGAAATAAGTGTCTTACTCGAAATCGATCATCTGTATAATTGGGTTGTTTTTGAGTAATGAGAAAATGTTTGCTCTCAAAGGTGTGTTTACCAGAAAATGACCAACTAGATATCGCGAACATAAGAATACCAAAAAAGTATGCGTTAATTGATGATAATAATAATAAATAGAAGTGATGAAGAAGCTCGGTAAGCTTTGGGTTGTCTTCAGATAAAGATCACAGAAATGGTTCGTTGTCAAAAATCGAAAAAGTGCATGTGATACCTAATGGAGGAGAAAGATGTCGAAGAAAATGAACTGAAACGCATGTAAGAGAACTAAAACTGACGGCTGTGGCGGAGTAGAGTGATAAACGTTTTTCGATATGATAGTAGAGGTCGCAGCAAAGAATGCCTTAGAAAATTGATGTTTATTATATTGGTAAATGCGATTTGGTATTTTCCCGGGCCAGTAGTACAAGACGACCGGCTATTACAACGACGCGTACACACAATAACTATTGATATTTTGCTATTACTATCCTACTGCAATGGCTCGTAGAAATTCTTCATCCGACTTTTTCTCATCGCCACGGATTTCTATCTATTCATATTTAAATTATTATCGTATAATAACCGTGCATATTTATGTGATCACCGTTTGAATGCTTCGAAAATGGGAAAATGTCTAAAACCTCGTTTTGAATATTATACTAAACTCACTGTCGCCTTCGTCTTTTTTAGTGTAGATCCATCCATGGTAATTTTAGATACAGTAGAAATATCATGCATAGTGAAGTCTTTTACCTTTTTATACAAACCATTGGTGGTTTTATTTCAGCAAAGGGTAAATGATATTGGTCAAGAATAGCTTACACTACATTATAAAAAAGGGTGGAATCCAGTTGAGCAACAACAATACATGTATAAACCATGATAATAAAATCACATTTATTTTTATTTTCTAAATCGTGCAAAACAAAAAAATTCGTAGGATTAAAATTATGTATGATCCAATTAATTCAAGGGAATTATACTTCCAGTTAAAATTTTGTCAATAATAACCTATTCATATACCGTATAAGGTCTATCAACAACTTTGCAAGCTTTTCGTCTAAATTGATTGTTTATTTTAAAGAATAACTTTTTTTCTTACAACGAAACAAAAAAAAAGAATTTTAAGTTATGATAAGATATGATTTTATTTATTCAAAACGAATAAATTGAATACTAACAATGTATTTTTTTCTAAATCATATACAGTTTACATAAAATTTCAGTTAATATTCAAATTTGATTCTTTCGAAGTATTTAAAGTAGTATTATTTATATTTATGGAAGTCAATAAATTTTCACAATTTATTTTATTATTATTTATTCATTTTTTTTTTTTTTGTAAAAAAATTAGTAAAAATCGTGTAAGAAATTATAGTTATTGATAAAATGCACAAGATTACATAAAATATTAAAAATAAAAAATAATGTAAACATAAATTATAGTTAGAAAAAAATCACCAAATACTAATACCATAGCTAATACAAATCATTTTCTTCTGTGACATTTAATCAATTAGCATGATCACTCTGACTACCTTTCTATTGTTCGGCAAGTGTCAAAAATTTGCCAATTACATAACACGTGATAGCTGCTTCCGTGTTATTGACACTTAATCCCAGAACTAATATTCCCAAATGACATATATTTCTTTATTTATTTTCATCTAGTACACGAATTCAAATTAAAATATTATCTCTAGAGATTATAGTGTGTCTCGATTTACAATTAAACAGCAATGAAAAGTATACACTTACAAATGAATCTCCAGTGTATTAAAATCGAGCGTATCAATTTTCTATTTTATAATGTAGCAGGCAAATGTAATCTTTTATTAAAGTCTAAAATTCATTTGTAGTTTAGTCTCTTTACCTTCGACATAAAATTTTTAAATCAAAATTGTAGAAAATATGAATTTGTTTATTATATTTTAGGTACTTTATACTTTTTTATTATTATAAATTCATTATTTTAGTACTTTAAAGGATAAACAAATTCATTTTTTTCTCTACATTTAGTTCATTTTTCATCTACCTCATATTTTATGATGCTATTTTAAACATAGTGGTTTTTCAAGTATTAATGTTTAGTAGATATACCAGATTAATGTCTATGAATTTGATAGCTATTCATTTATTTACCAATATACATATTGTTAATAAATTATTGCAATCATAAACATTATAAAATGAAAAAATAAAGTCATATTTCAGTGTTCAAATTGATTAAAGTTATTTATTCATTTATGCAAATATTTTTAAACAGAATTCTGTTTTTGTACATGTATACTTTGAACTTAAAAACATAAATAAATCTAGCAATAACCTATTTACTTATGAGATTATCATTGTGTAGACTTTTAAGTATTTTATATTTTGATTATTGCATTTACTAACAATATACATATTACATATTACACGAAACTCTGGTCAAAATGAGAAAATTGCATGCTTGTTTTGATGAATGGACTTTTTGTCTTCATCTAAATAGAGCAATGCATCTTCAGAATATGTCGGAAATAGAACTTATCTTTTTTATGTGACCTAGAGAATTGCTCGTAAGTGTAACAAAGCGTAAACATTAAATTAAGACTTATGCCGTTGTATTTTTCAATTTTCAATCATTATATACAGAGAAGACTGATACAATAATAACTTTATAGGAGGTATTCAGTAAGTAAGGAAACAGGTTAGTAGTTACAAACAATGAGAACAATAGAAACCCATTTCCTTACTTAATAAACACTCTATACAAGAATTTTAATAATTTTTTTATGAAACGATCTATTTCTAGTAGGATACTAACTTTTTTGTCTGATTACTTTTTTAATATGTTAAATATCACGTTCCAATTATAAACATATAAGTTATAATTTATTACTTTTACCATTTTTTGAATAAATGAAAATTAAAAAAAAAAGTGTTACAATTGTATCCAGTGAGGAAACAATCGTAACAATCACGAAGACAAATATTAATAAAATAATAAGAGTATATCATATCGAAATCATAATGACATTAGTAACAACGACATTAATTTTAGAGAGAGATCATTTAGATTATCATATATCACAGATATTAATCATTGGTAAAATGTATCAAAAATTCTGTGATTAACCAGATTGTTTGAGGTTTCTACGAAACCTGGAGGTCTTATGAAATTTTACTTATAGTTGACCATCGGGAAAATTTAAAATAACAAAATGAGAGGAGGAATGAGGCCAAGATATGTCTAGTGAAAATAATAGAAACAGCCACTCCTCATTTTTAGTCATTATTTTAAATTATTAATAACTTTTAACTAAATACTAGTCCAAAAGTTGTTACCTTAAAAACCAAAACTTATTTTCTTGATTACATCATTTTCTTTTCTATGAGATAGTAAAATATATTTAACGTACATAAATGTATGTTGACATTTAAAAAATTAAAGTTGACACTTCTATAAGACATAAGGGATGAATAAAAAAAATATTTTTAAAGGATAAATGAAAATACATGTGTAACTAACAAAAGGCAAAAAAAAAAAATTCACAAAACTATTATTAATTTAAGAAAAATGGCTAGTGTTAAAAAATTTACTCTGTAGACAAAAATAAATTTATTAACCTTATTAAATTAAACAATAAATGAAACACGTTTGTTAAGTAAAGTAGTATTTTATACTTTTTACTGTTTTGTAGAATAATCCTTTAGTCATTTTGTTGTAAAATAAACATGATATCAGGGAATAGATAAGGAGATATTGTTTGTTACACAGTATAAACTCTTACTGTATTAGTTTAAAATTTTTGTACTTGTCAGGAATGTAAATATTGACCGTGTTACAAATATAAACAGTCTCTCCTAAACTAACTCAATACGCATTGCCATAAAATGGTTTTATTAAATAGTTTAAGGTAATTTTTTTCATCAGTTATAGGGTAATGAAAAGTACAGTTTTTATTTTTTTAATTCATCAAGTAAAATATGTGTTTAACTGTTGAACAATTGATACAATATGTCAATTATTATAATTACATGGCCGCTTGGGATTGACATCGAAAGTGTACTAGAAATCATGTAAAAAAAAAAAAAAAGGACAAGGTACAGGTTTGGAACCCGCGATCCAAGTCATAACCACTCGATCAAAGTACACTTGTGATTCATATCCGATAAACTTCCCATTTAGGTTGATAACGTGATGTGCATTTAAGGAAAACAAGGTACCGTATCAAAAATTATATAATTGCAATTATATAATGAAATTGATAGAAGTGTAAAATAAAAATAACAGCTAAAAATGAAAATCGGTAAACAGTAATCATGATCTGTACGCATGAAAACATTTTAAACTGCTAAAATTTATATTATAAAAAGGTAAAATAATCTAGTACGTGATTTTATTTTTGCTGGCGCAAAGTATCCTAGAATCTCTATTTGAGAATAATAATAATAAGACCTTATTGCTGACGGGTCAAAAAATAAACCCATTTATACAAAGGCCATAGAAGGATTTTCAATAGAAAGTCATCGTAGATAAATGTTTAAAGTTGCCCATTGTAAATACTTGGGACTGATAATACTATGATAATAAAATAATTAATCTGAACGGTAATAAATATAGACAAATGCCTATTTAAACAAACAAGCGGCCAATATAACATAGTTATTAAATGTAATGTAACTATTAATTCAATTAAGCAGTAGATCAATTTAAACAATTCATAGCATAAACCTTTGGGGTTTTTCTTGCATTATTTATAAATACTTCACTAAACAAATGTGAGATAAAAAAAATACACTAACCTCAGAACTTAAATTCAACATAATATTTTTTTAAAACCCAGAATTTTAATATTTGGAAAACGAAACCAGAATGACAAATTTGACAATATAACTATTATCCTGGTCATATTTTTTGGCATTAAAACAGTCAAGAGCTTTTTTGCACGAGCCTATTATTCCCCAAAAATATTATTTCATTCGTTACAAAATAAAANATTTGACAATATAACTATTATCCTGGTCATATTTTTTGGCATTAAAACAGTCAAGAGCTTTTTTGCACGAGCCTATTATTCCCAAAAATATTATTTCATTCGTTACAAAATAAACCATATAAATAATAGCGTATTGATGGAAATGAGTATAATTTATATTTGTTCACCTAAGCACTACGTTTTATGGTATAATACCTTTATACTGAACAGGTACCTAACGAAAGACTTAAGAGTATAAATAAGTTTCATTTTAGAAGTAAATAATTTAAGACAACTTTTTGCCATATTATATTTTAAAAGTTTAAGAATATGAAATGAAGAAATAGTGAAAATGTAAATAATATTCATAAATCAAAATATTATAATACCACTGTCTTCAATTTGAAGAGTACAAAATAAAAGGGCATGTTGTTATACGACAAATTAACTATTTTACTATTTCATATATATCTTGATTTATTAATTCTTAATTTTTTTTTTAATTCATCTTTAATACGTTATAAGAGCGTTAATTTTATTATTTTTTAATGGCAGTATACATATTTAATTAGGTTGACAACAACTTTTGACCCATATTTCGAAAGTTATAATTATTTTAAAATATTAAATATGAGTCGTGAGTTGTGGTTTATATTATTTTTATCATTATAATAATGTTTATCATTTGTAAAGTATTTAAAGTATTGGTCCCAAAAGTTTTTTTCGACCAGTCATATTATTAATTATATAAATTTTTATTTTATAGACTAGTGTAATAAGTATGTTGCTGATAAAAATACTTATATTGATACTTTTTTAGAAAAGATGGAATGAGTTAATTTTTATTTGAATATTATGGGTCACGGGATATTGACTATTGAAAAGAAAAAATTATAATATGTTTTAAACTTTTTATAACGCAAAAATTATTTGATAATACGGAAATATAAATACATAAAACAATGGTTAATGTTTAAAAAATATATTGGGTTGATTAATCAACGTTATATTTCAAGAGATGTCAACATGCATAAGTAATCGTGTTAATTTTAAGCTTCATTGATTGTGTAGAGCGATTTCTTTTAGATTTAGTTACTTGAATTGTTTTAATATACGTATTAGTCAGAATCTTATTATTTACGGTTCAGTTGCCGAACTAATAATCATTATATTTTAACAGAAATCCAAAATCGTTTTTTAACGCTTTCAATGATTTTACAGCGTATTTTTTTATTACCCTTAAGAACTCTGGACCTTAAACTTTCGATTAAGTCTAAAACCTTTCAAAACCTCAATGACATTTTTAAAGATTTAGTCATTGTAATATATCGTCTTTATTTCATTAATATATTGACTATGTATTTTAAACTGCAACATTTCTGAACACAAATCCCGTAATTTATTTACCTACACGCGTACAATATAAATAAGCAACAACGTTAGACAGGAAATCAAACAATTACTTACTAAAGCTACTATTATTTTACTTTGGAAATGATGGCATAATATTTTCATCTTAAAATAAACATTTTAATTTTCCTTACATATTAAATTTTCGGTCAGTTCTTAAAATTATAATTTGATTCCATACAAAAAGGTCAAATGAATTACATTACATATAATAAATTAGGCATCCAGTTAGTTTTACAATAATTTTAATCATGTAACAGCATAAATTGTTGTTGTCAATTGAAATTGTTTTTTCGTTCCAATGACTAATCCATAACAATAATTTTAAATGTACTCTTTAATGTCATGTGATGTCTTTTTGAGGCATTACTCATATTAAAAAATAAATAATAGAATAATTTTTCAAATAGTACAACGTTATATGATTTAACAAAATTTAATTTCAGAAAAATAGTTGAGATTTTAGCTGTTTTAGCCCTTAAATGGAAAATGATTTGAAAAAACGCNATAGTTGAGATTTTAGCTGTTTTAGCCCTTAAATGGAAAATGATTTGAAAAAACGCTATTGCATTATTTATACGTGAAAAGTACAAAATTGCTTAATTAGTAAATCTCTAAAAAAAAATAACAGATTTTAAGAGGACATTAGTCATAAATACCACAGCGATAACAATTTATGGTCTATAATGATATATCTAGTGAAAAGTTCTGAAATTTGCTTATTATGTCATTCTGTTTATTTTTTTAATTTTTCAGATTTTTAATGTATAAGATCACATGAAAATGTAAATATAAGTAATAAATATATATATAATAAATAGAATTTAAAACAAAAAATTCTATATTAATATAATAAAAATATATTAAATAATTAATTATTATAATTTTAAAATATGGTTTAAGGTTTATTAATTTAATTTAAATTCATAATTACAGTGACACAGTTAAACATAAGTTTGACATGAAAGCTTAACTTTCTAACAAAATTGAAGTGGGTGACATCTGACAAGTGTATACTAAGTTTAAATTAACATACACGAAGTTATTTGAAATCATAATATTAGCGCATTTCATTTAAGAAGTGATTTCTAATGAAAATCATTGTATAAAATATTTACCTAAAATAAATGAAATTACATTACAAATATAAAGTTAAACTGCACATGATCATAAATATATTTCTAAGTAAATAAAAAATTATTTTTTAATAAAAAAGATAATTTTGTAAGATATTTAAGCAAAAATGTGATTACAAATCACTTGTATTAGTCATTAAGTTATATAATAGTTAAAAAATATATTTTAATTTTTAAATAATATTAGACACAAGTTTATCATTAATTTTTTTTCATATTGTTGTACAGAGTGATTGATTAAGAACAAATAGACATTTTCTTGGACACTATTGAACATTTTTAATTTTTGTTAAAGACAAAATTGTGTCATTTAAAACATGATATATTATCTTTCTTTTACGATAGCAAGAATATAAACTGATAATAATTTATGGACTAGTGAAAAAAAAATTTGCTGCCTCTGGTTTTTATGAAAACCAAAATATATATGAATTCTTAGTGTTTTTTTAATCAAACAATATTTTCGTATACGAAAAATTGAAGATATTCAATCATTTTTGATCAAAATAATGTCCCTATCCTTAATTGATCACTTTGTGTGAATTAAGAATATTATTTTCTTAGTACATTAGGTTCAAAGTATGAAAAGTATAATTAACTTCTAAAGTAATGAAGTATACAGTTATCAACGGCCTATAAGTAATTTATCATTTCAATCAAATAAAATATCATAGGAAAAACTAATTCACCTATTTTATACTTATACCTAACTTTAAAAATAAATTTACCTTAGTGAGGATTAGTAAAGAAAATCGGATATTAATAGGAAATTTATGAGCCTTAAGGAATAAAATTTATTTTCTGATTTATTTCAAGAAGTTTTAAATTAATT